AGAGTCGGGATTGCAATCGGGGGCGGGGGGAGGGAGTAGAAGAAGAAGAGGAGAAGAAGAAGAAAAAAAGGAAAAAGAATAGGGAGAAGAAGACGAAGAAGGAAGAAGATAAGAGGGAGAAAGAAGAAGAAGAAGAAGAAGAAGAAGCAGAAGAAGAAGAAGAAGAAGAAGAAGAAGAAGAAGAAAGATAAAAAATAAAAAAAAAGAAAATTGTTGTGCGGGGGGTAGCAACGACGATGATGAGGATGGCACGGCGACGAGGATGACGGGCAAGGTGATGGTGACGGTGATGACGTGGCACGACGACGACGATCGCGACGATGACGATGATGATGTGGCACGACGGCGACGATCACGACGATGACGTTGATGATGGCCAGGTGGTGACGACGAAGCAGGATGGGTCGGGCGGGTTCTAACCGCTCCGGTACCAGTGTGACGAGGCTGAGGCAGAGGCAACGAGGCTGGGAGAGAGAGGGAGAGAGTGAGAGCACACACACACTCACTCAACTTGAGGCAGACTCGACACGACTAGACACGACTAGACGGACGCAGACACGAAGTGGCAAAGTCGCAAAGTCGAAGTCTTGGATTTCCGAACACAATGTCGAGGCATGTTCCACCGAAGCACAAGCACTGAGGCCGCAAACTGAATGCCCGTACTGGGCTTGGGTCCCAGTCCGATGGGCAGAAGTGCAATTTGCCCAGGGCTGAACTGAAAATCGAAAGTTTGAAAATGGGCGCCAGAATGCCGGATGGCGCCAAGTGTCCCAGATCAGAAAAATAAAACAAAGAGAAAAATAAAAATACGAAAAACAAAGAAAAGAAAATGTGTGCAGTGAACTGCGGGTAGCTGCCGCGGACCAGGGATCGAGAATGGTGTAGTCCGTAACAGATGAGGTACCCGACTGTGACTTTTCTGAATTTGACGAACTCAGCTTCTCTTGACCAGGGCCTCTGACCCTGAGACCCGAATTCGGGGTCTGAATCGTGGAAAGCCTTTCACAACCGTTATCCGATACTGGACTGTGGGACTTTAGTTTCTTATCAAGTATTGATTACAGAATCATAATACAGGTCTGATGAGATCTGTTGTTGTTGTTGTTTTATGTTTCATCTGCTGTGGTATCTTCTTGCTGCCTCTTGTCGTGCTCTCTTCCTCCTGCTCCAGTGCCTTTAGTGTTTGACACACGTGAGAACTTGCAGACAGAGGGGATGTCCATCGTTCCCATCTCAGTCCCGTGATGTATTTCTTACCGACATTTTTTTCGTTGAATTTTGTTTTGTATTGACTGACTTTGCCTTGCGACTGCAATTGATTCCCCCCCCCTCTCCTCCCCCTCCTCTTCCCCCCCCAACTTCCACTACTCCCCATCCTCCTGCCCCCCTTCCCATTTTTTTTCTACAGGGGTGAAGCCTGAGCGACTAGAGCAAGGTTTGGCGCCAAAGCACTGTGCACTGTCACTGGTCGGAGAGCCCATAATGTATCCAGAGATCAATCAAATAGTTTGTGAATTACACAAACGCCGAATCTCGACATTCCTTGTGACAAATGCACAATTTCCTGAAAGGATTGCTCAGCTCGACCCAGTCACGCAGGCAAGGCCTCCTACCTACTCAGAATTCCTTTCTTGTCTTTTTTTCATTTCTGTAAGGAACTGTCCAAACAGTGACTGAGAACACAGCTGATTTCTGAGTTTTGCCGCTAGAATGAATGCCTTGCTGAGATTCCCACTTTCTGCTGATTTTTCCAAGTGTGTGAGTGCATACTTGCTGGTGTGTGTGCCTGTCTGAGTGCTTGATGACTTGTGTGTGACCTGCAAGGGTACTTGCCTGCTTGGACGGCCTGAAGGGCCGGTACTTACCTGTGGGCGTGACATTGAGGGTTGCAGCGGGGAAAACACTCAAGTGGCGGGAATAGGCCCGCAACACTTAGAGCAGCGTGGAAAATACACTCAAGTCACAGGTAGGCCGGTACCACACCAAGTAGTGGTAGATGTGTCGTTATTCGAGGTCGAGCAGAAGAAGACAAAAGTTGCCATTTTTAGAGGCCCAGTAGTTGTAGGCTAGGTCTAGGTGGGTACCAGTCGAAGTAGTCTGAGTCTAGGGCCTGTATGGGCAATATCAGAGTCTGCAATGATGTTTCCCTCCGAAAGGGAGGGGGTACCCGTTGCTTGGAGGCCGTGCGGCCTGGAAAGTCACCGGCCAAGGGGCATATCTCCAGGAGGAGCGAAGGCTCCTCCTCATTTGCTGCGTGCAAGTTTGGAGTAACGCTGCTGGAGCGCTGGTTGGAGCGCTGCTGAGTCCAGTGCTGGGGAAGAGAAAGAGCGCCCAGCTCTCCACCTTGGCTATGGTGGTAAAGCTCGGGCTGGAGGACGAGGAAGAAGAGGACTAGGGTGGGGGAGCGCCAGGGGTACGTACCTCGCTATTGTGGATGCCATCTTCATCACCTTGGCGGGCGCTGCATCTGGAAGCCCCCCGTTGGGGTAGAGCTACACCAAGAAGCTTTGAGGCAGAGTCAGGCATGCCGACCTGAGTGGAAGCAGTCATAAGCTGCTTTGTGTTGTCTTTTGCACGTCAAGGCAATGCCCTAGTAGTCCGCCATAGCCTCGGCCTATGAAGAGGAAGGGGAGGGAGGCAGCCATGGCTATGGTGGACCTCAAGTTGTGCTGGCTGTAGAAGAGGGATCCGGACATTGATTCTGGTTCTGCCACTCATCATTATTACTAGCTTAGCGCCTGCGGTGCGGGCGGTGCAGGCTATGCCCGCAGAAATAGCAAATGCAATGGGTAACCTCACACGGACCGCTCACATAAGCTCAGACAGACTTAAAAAAAAAAAAAAAAAGAATCGAAGGGTTATAAAGAATAGCCTCAAACTGACTCCCCAGTCTGAGCATAATTGACGAATTTAAAAAATGACAGATTGGAAATTCAGAAAAAGGGAGAAGGAGAAAGG